TTTTTGTAAAATTTTAATTTTCTAGGGGTTGTTAGTAATTTTTCATATTCATTTTAATGTCTATAGGTTAGAAATTCTCATGGAGTTTTTTTTTGTAAATTATGAATTTTAAGGATTTTTTGTAAATTTTTAAACTTATAGGTATTTTCTACAGATTGTAAATTGTTTATAGGCTATTAATACTTCCTATGCTTTCAATTTACTAATAAATTAAAAATTTTAGGATGTTTTTTGTAAATTTTAAATTTTAAAGGATTGTTTATAATTTTTAAAACTTTAAGGGTGTTTTCTATAAATTATAAATTATGTAGGGGATATTTATAATTCCTATATTTTTAATGTACTGTTAGGTCAGAAATTATCAGGATTTTTGTAAATTTTACAATTTTGAGGGTTTTATTTTATAATTTATAAAAAGTTCAGAGTATGTATTACAAATTCTATAAATTTTTGGGGGTTGTTTGTGTTATTTGTAGGTTTTTAGTATGTTTATAAGTTTGACATTTTTAAGGTGTTTTTATAAATTTAAATTTATAGGGGTGTTTTTATAATTTTTAAAACTTACAAGATATTTTTTCAAAGTCAAAAAACTTTCAGTTTCTAGTTAGCATATATTTTTCAGATTTCTCACAAAATTTATAATTTTCAAAATATTTTAATAAAATTTTAAATTTGTAGGGGCGTTTTTATAATTTAAAAAATTAGGAGAATATTTTTTACAAAGTCCAAAAACTTTTAGGTGTTGACTAGCATATGTTTTTTAGATTTCTCTATGAACTGAAATAAGTAAAGAATTTAAATTATATGAAACGTATCTATTTTATCCAATAACATGTTAAGTCCATTATGAATAGAATAAATCATTTGGTTACCAATTCAAAGAAGATAAGATAATTAGAATAGATTAGAATAGCAATATAATATTTAAAAAAACCTAATGATAATATTGGTCATAGAAAGATTTTCCCGAACTCGTACTTTTAAATAGAGTATATATATATATATATATATATATATATATGATATGATATGATATGATATGATTAATAGATAAATAGATAAATAAATAGATAGATGACTTCGGGTACCGGTTCGGGTCACTTCAGACACGATCCAAATTGCAAAGGATTATATAAATAGATAAAAGTTTTTGGACTATATAAATTAAATTAATTTCATATACTTTTAGTAATAAGTTGGGATAGCCAAAATACATTCGTAACATTAATTGATAGATGTTTAAATCCATAGAAATGATAAAACACTATAATATTAATTGATAGATGTTTAAATCCAATTATTTTTTTATGTTTGTTTAAATGGGATACACCCAATTTAAATTTTCATGTTGATATTTGAATTGACAAAAAAAAATATAATTTAAAAAAAATTTAAATTTTTATATTATTTTTGACCGATATGAAACTAAGCTTTATTTGAGAAAGTATAGTATTGCAAAGTGAAAAATATTAAAATAGTGTTATACAAGGAAGGTGAATATTTAAAACCAATATGACAAAAATAATTGATTTAAAGTATATTAAAACGATGCAAAAAAGAATATAAAGTTTATTCCTAATCATTGATAGACTTCATAAAAAAATATAAATTAAAGATTAATGCTAACTCTAGTATACTTTTATATGATAAAAACATCCACATAAGAATATAAAAGTACTGAAAAAAATTCATTCTATAAAATATTCATAAAATATTGTTTTTATTTCTTCTATTTTATTTTTTATTGAGTTAAGATCAATCATTCTTCAGGTTTATCATTTATTATTTCTCGGGCAATTCTAGAGTATTGTCTTCATCATTTACATCAATTGTGACATCAGGCTAATTTTGTATTTTTTATGCTATTATCTTTCCTGGGCTCGTTAATTTTTTATCATCTCATTTAACTTTACAAAGAAGTCAAATGTACTTATGATGTTCAACACAAACTGCTCAAAATATAGACTTTGATTTTTTTTTCTATTTCAATGAGAATAAATATTAATTTCATATATATAAAATTCTTTGTGTTCCTAATTTATTACTTAAATAAATTAGAAGCTATCTCTTTATTTTCCTCTAAAATGAATTCTTCTGATGTGCATCCAATAAGAATTTCTGTTATTTCAATAATATTACCTTTGCTCTATCCCTGTCATTTTCCATAAAGATCTAAACTAAATACCTACATTATTCATTACCAATTTCTCTTAGATTATAACATTAATATTTAATTTGAAGAACACAATATGGAATTTATGAATACTTACTAATTTTTCTTATGTCTTCCATGGAGATTTTTTCTTTGATTAGGATAAAGTTATTAAATTATTTTTTAATGTAACTCATTCAGTGCTTCATTAATAGATATGTCTTATGTTAATGCCAATTCAAGTGATTCATTGACGTTTTCTGAATTTTAGATTTATTTCCATCACTTTCCCATTTGCAATGGAAATAACTCAATTCTTTTAAAGTTATCTCTAAATATTCTAATAGTTTCTCCATATGTAATTCCTTGTATTCTTTTACCCTATAAATATTATTAACGTCAAAGATTAAAGTTTCTAAATTAAAATCAATTAATGCTAAGGTATAATATTATAGTGTTTTATCATTTCTATGGATTTAAACATCTATCAATTAATGTTACGAATGTATTTTGGCTACCCCAACTTATTACTAAAATTATATGAAATTACTTTAATTTATATAGTGCCGATAATTTTTAATCTATAATATTTTTAAAAATTTTATCCATTAACCGGATGTTTTTAATCAATTCTTATTGTTTTTGTTTACCAGTATCAACTTAGACTATTCTTAGATGCTGAAAATGGATAGTAAATCCCTAAATTAGAAATTTTAATATATATATATATATATATATATATATATATATACTATAATATAATATATGTAGTATATTAATAAATACTATATATAGTATATATGTAATTATATAGTATAGTATAATACTGATAGTATATTATATATAACTATAATTATAGTAAATATATATACTATACTAAATAATATATTTATATATATACTATACTAGTATCCACTATATATATATCAATAGTTGAAAAAATTACCAACAATTACACTTTTCTTTAGCGCAAGTTTTAAATTTAGCCCATTTTTGTGGTTTTGAACTTGTGAGGGTGTGATTTGTAATTTTTTTCAAAATTTGAAAGAGTTTTTTAAAAAAAATTACTTTTAAGTTTGATAGTTGTAAAATTTTATGTTTCATGTGTTTGGTGGTAAAATTTTTTAAATGTTAAGTACTATCTTGCTTGTAACTCTAAAATCTTTGAGGGCTGTCTTCTGCGCAATTATTAAAACTATAGATTAATTTTAAAAAATATTAAATTCAGCGATCTAGCCAATCGACGAATTTGAATGTGTTGGCTATTAATAGATTTTGAAAATTTAGGGAGTTTTCTTTAAGCAATTTTTAAATTTTGAAGTTAGTTTTTTTAAAAATTTACACGGTTAATTTCGGCAAATTTTTTAATTTTTTAGGTGTCTAGGGTAACATATCTTGAATTCATCTTATGTTAATTTATAATTTTAGAATTTAGGGGTGGTTTTTTATAATTTGAACTTTTGATAGGTGTTTCTATAATTTTTGGAGATATTTGAGTGTGTTAATTATAAAAATTTTAATAATTTTAAATATCGATATTTTTAGGTTGTAATCATGGTAATCCTCTTGAATTCATGCTGTGTTATTTGTAAGTGTTAAAATTTTAGAATTTTAATGTGCTTGTTCTGTAATTTAAACTTTGAGAGGGGTGGTTTCTATAATTTTTGAGACATTGGAGGTGTTAAGCTGTTAAATTTTAAATTCTTTGCAAAGGTGATTGTTAAATTTTTTAATTTCAATGTTTTTTTTACTTTTAGGTTTTGAGAGCAATGTGGGATGATTTTTATAGATGTTGAAGCGTTTTCTAGGGGTCTTTTCTGTAATTTTAAAGACGTTTTATGGTTCTTGTTTACAATATCTTATATATAAATTATGAATATGTTATCTAGCTTTGTAATTTCTTTATCTAACAAACTAAATATCATTTTTTTTATGTTTTAATATATTTTTATAATATTAGTTTTTTTTTAAATTGTTAAGCTTAAAGGCATGGCGTCGACTAGGAATTTAGGATAGATAAGTGATTATGATTAGGATAGATTAAGATATAAAATAGAAATACTTTGTCCTAAATATGGATTATGATTAGGATATGATTATGATTTAGGAGTAGTGAAGGGTAATATTGAGCCATTGAAAATTAGAATTGTGAATTATAGATAAGGTAAGTTCAAACTATAAAGGGGTATATTTGGTTCTAAAAAAGATTTTTCGAAGGGTCGTGCTTCTTTAAAGAGAGTATGATATGAATAACATATATTAATATATACTATATATATATCAGTATATATATAATATATATATATAGTATATATATATATATATATATATATAGTATATATATATATATATAGTATAATATTATATAATAGATATATATTATATATATATATGAGAAAGTGATGGGTATGCTTGGTACTAAGCCAAAAATATGTGTTGGTAGTGAGTGTATTCAAATCCCCTCACTATTCACATGTGGGAAACAAATTTCGACGATGGGGTAGTGAGTGGAAGAGGAGTGAACAGCATCAGCTAACCGAAGCACAAATTTTGTGGCTTGGTAGCAAGGCATACCCATATTTCTGCTCGCTCTGCTCTCTCTCTCTCTCTTTCTCTCTTCTACATCTCTCCTCTAATATTATGATATATATAGTACTATATATATATATATATATATATTGTATAAGTATATATATATATATAGTATATATTATATACGTATATATATATATATATATATATATATATGGCTAACTTACAAATTATTAAATGTTATGACCTATGAGCAGGTACCTTTTCGCTTAACTACAATACTCGTGAAGGCTACGGAAGTTAGTGGTATTGAAGGCAATTTCAGGTCGACCTGTGAAAATGTGATGCAAGTTCTGCGGACCAATAAGGATAGTGTCATGGCTATGATGGAGGTAAAGGAACCATGATTATTGCATCTTTGTTATTTTCTTTTGGTTTTAACTAGAAAGCTAGAGGCAAAGATCTGGCCTGAGGACTGAAGTCCTTGATTCTAATTAGCTAGATAGAAAACTAAAGTTCTTGATCCTGATTAAAATACATGGGAACTGTGTTTTTTTATGTGAGGGCATGCATAATGTAAGGATAGTTAAATATCAGTCAAACTTCTCAGACAGCGGTTGTGTCATTGTTTGCCCAAGATAATAAGCAACACATATAAGTGGTATGCTTATAACTTCGGTTATTTGCCAGTTTTCTATAAGCATAGAGCTGTATCAAGTGGTGGAATGCTAATAACCTCGACAAACAGCAAGTTTGATTATCTCAAATAGATCTTAGGGAAATATTTTCTGAATTTTTTTAAAGTGATATATAGGGATGACTTCAATAGGATATTTCTAATTCTCTGGGACTCTATGATTTTGTTGCCTTCTATATCTTTAATGTAATAATTTGCATCCCTCGCCTTGTAATTTTATACGTGCTGTCAGATTGGAACCTTAAATTTTAGATTTCCATGGTACTTTGTTTTGCAAAATCTAAACCTTGGATGTGTTTGATTTCAGGCTTTCGTACACGATCCTCTTATCAATTGGAGACTGTTCAATTTTAATGAAGTTCCTCAAATGGCGAACTATGGAAACTCCCATGTTCATCCTGTTGTGAATAGTGAGGAATCTGCACCTAATAGAGATCTCCCTCAACCTCTGCGTGGTGCACGGGAGAGAGAACTGCTGCAGGTTAGTATGCTGCCCCTTTGCTGATAATAATAACAGCAGCACCAATGCATTAATCCAATTTGTCTGATTGGTTGCATGAATTTTACTTTTTCAATCAGCCGTGTTGAGGACTATCTTGTCTTTCTTACCTGTGCCCCTTTGATGATATGAATTTTGGTATTGGTTTGTTATAGCAGTCAAAAGATTTCGATTATCCATCAGCTGTCAATCAACTTGGTGATGCTAATTAAAAATATTTTGACTATCCATAGGCTGTCAATCAACTTGGTGATGCTAATGAGGTTTTAAATGAACGAGCGGTGGTGGTTATGGCACGGATGAGCAATAAGCTCACTGGACGGGACTTTTCTTCTGGATCATCAGTGTCAGGGGTTGCCAGTTCAATCCAGTATACTGATCACCATAGTGCCTTGATTTCTGGGGATACTCGTGAAGTTGATCATGGTCTATCTGTGAAACTTCAGGTTCAGAAGTTAATTTTACAAGCCACATCCCATGAAAATTTGTGTCAGAACTATGTTGGGTAAGCATTGGATAGAACTTTCTACCTTTATTTTGCTATCTGTCAATCTCATGCCCCTTCCAATTACTTTGGAGTAAAATTAACCGTCTAGGGAGCTTTATGAAGAATTAACTGAACATAGAAAATGTAGCAGGGAAAGAAGTACAACAGTGTAAATTTGAGCACGTGCTCCACGCCTCCACCATAAAACATAGAAATAACCTGCAGGCATTGGGTAGCTTTTTGGCTGCTAAATTTTATCACAAGCTTATTCCCTGTATTCTCTCATCACTGGAGAGACTTTAGAGAATTCATACTTGGTTGTGGGCTAAATACCCATATTGGTATTTTAATTCAACCCCATTTCCCAACAAGGTATTTTAATTAGGAAATTCGGCGATAAGACATTTTAATTGAATAAAATTACCATTTAGGTCCTTTTTCTCGTCGGCGGCCACTTTTCCGGCGAGAACAGATCACGTGCGTTGCATGTGGGGGCTTAATCCGTGTTTAATATGCTGATGTGGCTCTGTATTCTGACGTGGCAGGGAGAATAAAAGAGGGATCGAATTAGGGGAAATTGGGAATTAGGGTTTATGACAGCGGGCCATTGGAAGAGAAGAAGCTATGTCATCGGCATCAAGTTCAAGCTCTCATTCAAGCTCTCGATCTAAAGCAAGCAGGGTGAGTGGAAAATTGGGATCGCATGTAAGTAATAATCATGGTTTGAATTCTTTGGCAGGTATTAGAAGGTGGAACGAGGAAGCAAGGACGGTTGGCATGAAAATCTGTAAGTGTAGAATGGATTGTGGGTATTATACATCATTTACAGATGAAAATCCTGGGAGAAGGTTTTATAAATGTCAGAATCCTAATGGTGGCTGTGGAATGTGGGAATGGTTCGATAGACCTCTCTGCAATGTGTCTTCTACTCTATTTCCTATTCTACGAGATGAAATACTTAACTTGAGGAGTGAATTGAAGCTCAGGGATAGGCAGATTCAAAGAGTTGAGGCCGAAGTGAAGGATTGCCATGTTGAAAATGCCAATTTCAGAGACCAGCTCCAGGTTTTATACGATGAGAACGCTTGCTCTTTGGAAGAAATATCAAAATTGAGAGATGAGAGTTTCAGATTAGAGGGTTTGCTTCAATTGGAGAAGAGGAGGATGATGTTGCTGAAGAGAGGAAGTTTGATATCACTTTTGTTTGTAGTCTTTTTTATTGTGTATTTTTTTTGGTTTATGGACATGGATATGTAATGTTTAAGAGCATATTGTATGAACTTATGAATTAAATGAGAAGAAGCATCAGGACATGAAAAATTTGTCACTGTTTATGAGAAAAATTTGTCATGCTAAATACCCTGTATTCATGTATTATCTTTGTGAGTGAACCTGTCAAATATAGTTTTCCTGTGACAAAGCATACTCACAAGCTTAAGGGAGTTCATGCACAGAAGCTCATAATCACATTGCACAATCAAACGTAAAAACCAGTAAGTCCAAGCTTAAGTTCATGTACAGAAGCTCATAATCACATTGCCCTGTATTCATGAATTAAGTTCTTGCACAGAAGCTCATAATCACATTGCACAATCAAACGTAAAAACCAGTAAGTCCAAGCTTAAGTTCATGTACAGAAGCTCATAATCACATTGCACAATCAAACGTAAAAACCAGTAACTCCAAGCTTAAGTTCTATATGTACAGAAGCTCATAATCACATTGCCCTGTATTCATGAATTAAGTTCTTGCACAGAAGCTCATAATCACATTGCACAATCAACATACAAACCAAAAGCCAAACTACATTAGTCACTCTTTGACTGTCATGTGTTTGTCATGATTACAATAACCAGCAACAAGTAAAAAGTCATTCAACTACCTCAAGTCTATATATTACCAAAAGCTAAACTATAATTACATATAATTACATATAATTACAACCCACTATTATGTGCACATGAAGCCTGTGTATGCTCCTCTTGGTGTACATCCTGGGTTGAAATTGGAGTTGATTCCTGTATGATTGTTGCTTGAGAGGCACTTGGGTCTCTATAAGCTATTTCACCATGATCACCATGCCATAGGCCAAAACCCTCTGGCATAATGACTGCATTATTTCTTCCTTTGCCTCGGCCCCGTCGCATATCACTCCTTCCTCTAGCATTTTGAGATTGAGCTTACAGAATACATAACAAATTCATATATCAGTAGGAATCTATATGAAAACTTGGTGCACAAGAGTATGTATTGTCCATTACCTCTAGCCATTGATCTTTTATTTATGAAAACTTGAGATGGTGGAAGAGTGTTAGTTTGACTATGCTCTTCAATGGAAATGTTAGGTCTGGTTTTGCTCCCCTTTGGTCTTCCTCTTTTCTTCCTTCCACTTGTGCCTTCATCAAGAACTTGAGATTGATTTTCCTAGAAGTAAATCAATGGAGAAATTAGATAATACGATTGCATATGAGATTATTAAAGATATCTAAATAATTGGCATTACAATACCTGTTGATGTGCTGGCCTGGGAGGATTTGTTGCTGCATCAGGACAACTGGGTCTTCTATGCCCTGTTCTGTGACAATTGCTACACTTTTGTATTAATCCCTGCCTTGATGACCTAGAAGGATGCTTGGAACCTTCAGATGGGTCTCTCCTCCTAGCAGTTTTGGGTCTCCCCTTTGGCCTTCTAACAATATTTGGGGGTAACACCATTCCCTCTCCCTCTGTATCCCAATAATTACTCCCTTGTACTGGATTTAACATTCCTCCATAGGCAATCAAATAGTTTTCTTGAGAATACATCTCTGATAAGTACATTTCAGGTTTCCTTCTCATAAGTAAAATAGCACTGATTGCATGTGTGCATGGTATTCCTGTCAAGTCCCAATTCCTACATGTACATGTCATATTTTTCAAATCCACTGCATGACTTTGCCCTCTATGGATTATCTCAAAACCAGTTTCATTCTCATCACCATTCCAATGGGCACGACAATGAACTTGCTCCTGATATGCTTCCTCCAACTTCTTATGAATTCTAGGTGCAACTCCCCCCACAAATTTACTCACCAGTTTCTTTTTCTCTTGCATTCTATCCATTATAGATAATCTAATATCCTCTAACATGGATACTATAGGTTTATATCTTGCAAGTAATATAAAAGAGTTGAATGTTTCTGCCATGTTGTTGTCTACAACATCACATTTACTGTGGCATTTGAAATGAGACTTACATAATGTGTTGGGGTCTCTAGCCATGAAGTCTTCATAAGCTTGCTCTGATATTATCCTTAGCTTGGCAGCTTCAGTTTGAAAAATTGGCATAGAGGTGGCTTTAACACATTTCCAGAATTGACTTTGCAGGACCCTCCCACTATGAATTTTCCTCCAATTAGAATAAATGTGCCTAGCACATTGCCTATGCTCAACTGCTGGCCACACTTCATGTATAGCAGGAACCAATCCCTGAAATGCAAAGTAGGAGGAAAATTTGAGATCATGAAAGCAAACTTTGAGTTAATCACAATGAGTTCATGAAAGAAAAATTTGAAATAAAGATAGCATTGCACAAACCTTTTGTTGGTCTGACACAACTGTCCAACCATTACCATCATTCATGTTTAGATCCACAGTCAAAATTCTTAGGAACCATTGCCATGAGTTCCTTGTCTCCCCCTCAACCACTGCCCATGCTATGGGCCACATTTGGTTATTACCATCCCTCCCCACTGCACAAAGTAATTGCCCTCCACAAGCATGTTTCAGAAAACAACCATCAAGACCAAATATTCTTCTACACCCCAAAGTGAAACCCATCTTCAATGCTTCAAAACAAACGTAAAATCTAAGGAATGTGCTTGGTTGTCCTGCCTCTCCCTCAGCCACCTTCAGAACACAAGTAGTACCTACATTTGACCTCATTAGTTCTTTCATGTAAGGTTTTAGCAAGCCATATTGTCTTTGCATTAATCCTTGGACTGCATTTAGAGCTTTCTCCTCCCCCCTCCTACATTTTTTCAATGAGACATTAATTTGAAAATTCTCATAAATGTCAGATACAATGTTACTTGGCTTTATCTTTGGATCCCTCAGAATTTTATCAAGATAAACATGTGCAATCCAGTTATCAGTTATTAATCTATTTTTAAAAGTCCTGCAGCAAGTATGATCATGATTAATAAATTTTATTTGCCAAACACCAGCCTCATGACAATCTGGACCAGCAGTCATCTGCCAAAAGCAAAGTGAACAACCCATGTGAATCCTCTTAGTGTCATTCTTCATGTACACTAGATCATAGTGCTGTTGAATAGAATAATTTAGAATAGCCTCCTTTAACACACTCCTAGAAGTAAACTTTAACCCTGAAAAAGAAATTAAACACAAATGATTAGTTTTGACAATGATGTATAATTAAGACAACACAATGAAGTAATTATTGCAGTGCTTACCTGGCTCAAAATGCACAGCTTTCATATCCACTCTCTCATTGAAATACTTGTAGTTCACTCTTTCCTTTTTTTTCTTTTTCATATTGATCTCAGGTGCTTCATGATCACTGTCAAACAATGGTCCCTCATCATTACTGCTTCTTTGATCACTCTGATAGCCTCCTTCATAATATGTCCAAAAACTAGGCCAGTTTTGAGTTTTAGGAATTGTGCCTCTAGAGTTTGGACCTACTACATTCAATCCCACAATATGTGACATATGCGATTCTGCAATATGTGATGGGATATTACCAGCATCTGTATCATGAATAGGGCTGAAACTGGTGTTGAATTCATTAGCTTGTTGTGGTTGTGGTTCAGGTTGTGCTTCATTAACTGTTGGAGGGGGACCATCTACATCATCGACCAATCTTGCCCCAGCATTAAATGCTATTCTACCCTTCTCCTCCTCTAAAATTTTCTTATTTTTTTGCCTTATTTCAAACAACTCATCATCATCACTTCCTAATGGGCTCTTATGACTCTCATTATCTTCAGATTCTGCTGAGTCTATGTCTCCACCATCATTCTCATCTACATTTTTATCTGTTTTCATTGGTTGCTTTCCCTTTCTTGATCTATTCTTTGCACTAAACTCATCAAATAATTCCTTATCTTCACCATCATCATCATACAATGGCTCTGTGGGATCAACCCTGAAATTTTCATCCTCCACTGAGTCATCATCATCATCACTAGAAGATGTTTGTGCAGATTTGTGAGGGGGTGAATTGGAGGGACTGGGCAGTGGTGATTTGGAGGGAACTGACAGTGGTGAAATAGTAGGGTTTGAAACACTCACTTGGCCCTCTTTTACATCTACTCTTTTCTTGGGTGTTAACTTCTTTCTCCTAACCATAGGAATATTTCTTTTAGGAGAAGTAGCAACTGAAGTAGGACCTTCTATCACTTCTAATGGCATGTCAACATCGTGATTTGTATAGATTTCTATCACTCTGTGCCTCAATGCATGCTCAATCATTTCTGCAAGATCCTGATCTGAATTTAGAGGCTTTAAACCTCCACTAGCCAGTCCTACACTAGGAATAGAATAATACAACATCCCGACATTGTTATAACCATATTCTGTAACACTCATCTTCAATTGTTCTAATGAAATATCTTCTGCATCACAAAACTCAACATCAACTGAACCACCAATGTATGCCACATTACTTCCGAAGTCCAATGACCCCCCATGTCTATATTTAATCATAATTTGCGTAGCCATCTGCATAATTTACGAAAAATGATAATAATTCTATCAAATTCAACCCATTATTTGGAAAAAAACCACAACTTTGAAAACCCTAATTCTATCAAATCTAACAAAATGCAACAAATTTTAGGTTTATCTTACATTTAACTCAAACTAAATACGTGATTAACTTATCCTCTTCAAAGCCACCAAAAGATCTCATAGGTATAAAGAGAATCAAACCTTCGCATCGGCTTCAACCCGTACCAAGTCGTCGTCCTCCGCAAATCACCTAATGCATGCACCAAGGAACACCATCAGTTGAAATCTCTGCAATCTATCGCCTTCAACTGCCTCAACGATGATGGCTCACTCTCTATTTCTCCCTCTCTCTCGCGCTCAATTTCTGAAAACGAAAGGGGGAATATGTCCTATTTTGGGGGGAATTGGTTTTTAGAGGTTAATTCCCTGCCACGTCAGAATAGAGAGCCACATCAGCATCTTAAACACATATTAATCCCCCACGTGCAACGCACGTGATGAGTTTTCGCCGGAAAAGTGGCCGCCGACGAGAAAGGATCGACAAATAGGTATCATCGCATCACTGTGCGGATCGACAAATATGTATCATCGCATCATAGTGCGGATCGACAAATAGGTATCATCGCATCACTGTGCGGATCGACAAATATGTATCATCGCATCATAGTGCGGATCGACAAATAGGTATCATCGCATCACCGTGCGGATCGACAAATAGGTATCATCGCAGTCTCATTTGCGGTGTACTAACTCACAAGTAAATAGATCTCAATTTGTCATAATCCCCGTGGGATACTCAAATGCGTATTTCGTCATATTCATGACTGTAAGTATAACATCAAGCGGCTCAAACTCCGCGATCGCGTCACAAACAGCGCAAATAAACTCCAGAAAATAAAACTAGACCAAACTGTCCAGTAAATGATCAGGGTTACCAACCCCGACTATCTGCTGTATTAACTAATTGTGAATAGTAGCAGTACTTACTAATAACAACAGTACTTTACGACTAGTATCCGTACTCATGAATAGTAACAGTACGTATGAATAGTACCGTATGCATGAATAGTAACAGTATGTATAAATAGTATACATACGTATGAATAGTGTCAGTACTTATGAATAGTGTCGTATGTATAAATAATAACAGTACGTATGAATAGTACCCCCAGTATGCATGAATAGTAATAGTACTTATGAATAGTGCCGTACGTATGAACAGTACGGTATTTATGAATAGTACCATAGTATGTATGAATAGTACTCATGAATATTGTCGTACGTATGAATGGTACGATACTTATGAATAGTGCCGTACATATGAATAGTAACAGTATTTATGAATAGTATCGTAAGTATGAATAGTACCGTATGTATGAATAGTATCATACGTATAAAATAGTGACAGTATTTCCAGCGGTAGACATGTACGTATAGTTCTAGCTAGCAATATCATGTCTTTAGGAATTTGGTCTTATATTCTATTCATCAATTTTCATCAATATCAAGTCTTTTCTTTAATATCATGTATATTCATCAATTTTTATCAATATCATGTCTTTTCATCAATATCATGTATATTCATCAATATCATGTATATTCATCAAGATCAAAATTTACTGGGGATGGGTTTGGAAAGAGATGAACTTGCCTTTATTGATATCTGAAATTTGACTCCCTATCCGTTCCTTTTCTCCGAATAGCCAAAGTCTCATCTATCTTTTTCTCTCTTTTCTTCCTCTCTGTCTTCTTTTTCTCTCTCTCCTTCTTTCTCTCTCCCTCTTTCTCTTTCTCTTTCTCTCTCCCTCTCTTTCTCTCTCCCTCTTTCTCTTTCTCTTTCTCTTTCTCTCTCCCTCTCTTTCTCTCTCCCTCTCTCTCTCTCCCCTTCTCTTTCTCTCTCATCTTTCTTTCTGCCGTGTGAGAAGAGTGAAGGAGAGGGCCCCTTTTTATAGGAGAAGAGAGGAGCGGGATAGGTGGGGGTAGGTGGAGAGAAGAAAAGAAAAGGAAAAAAAATAATATTTATAATTTTATATTATTTAAAAAAATTAAGTTTCAAATC